CCTGCTGTCTGTGGGGTGTAGGGGACAGCCTGGTAACGCCTGTGGGAACGGTGAGCTCCAAGCATGGGGCTGGGAGCCAGGAACCCTGAACTCATTAAGGTTCTGGCCCTGCAAGAGGTGGGGGGGCAGGGTAAGTCTCCTGGCAGTACCTCACCTAGGCGTTTGCGGGGGCTCAGCGGCAGGACCGTCTCCCCGGGTGAGAGCGGCAGGAGGGTCACCCTGGTGGGGTTCGATGTGGCATCTCTGTAAGCCCCAGCAGGTGCGACAGGCGTCCTGGGCTGTTTCCTCCGGGGGAAGTCAATAGCAGCCTGGGTCTGGGACCTGGTGCTGGGCATGGCTGCCACACGATACCTGGGAGGCAGGGGAACCACTGGCCTCAGACTCATCCCCTCCCCATAAGGGGCACCGGCCCCCCTCACAACGCTGGGCGGGGAAGGCTCAGCAGCTAGATGGGAAACCCCAGACCCTCCGGGGCAGCTGGAAGAGCTGCCCCCGGCCACCCCCTTCACAGGAGCGGGCTGGAGCCCGGGGACTCAGCCAAGAACACACTCGCCAGGAATACTCCCCCCGCCCCCACAACCAGGCACCACGCCCCCCAGCCACCCCCCTTTGTCACCTCAGCCCCCCCAAACCAGACACCACGCCCCCCGCCACCCCCCTTTCTCACCTCAGCCCCCCACCCAGACACCACGCCCCCAGCCACCCCCCTTTCTCACCTCAGCCCCCCCACCCAGCCACCACGCCCCCCGCCACCCCCCTTTCTCACCTCAGCCCCCCACCCAGACACCACGCCCCCCACCACCCCCTTTCTCACCTCAGCCCCCCCACCCAGACACCACGCCCCCCCACCACCCCCTTTCTCACCTCAGCCCCCCCACCCAGACACCACGCCCCCCGCCACCCCCCTTTCTCACCTCAGCCCCCCCACCCAGACACCACGCCCCCCGCCACCCCCCCTTTCTCACCTCAGCCCCCCCACCCAGACACCACACCCCCCGCCACCCCCCTTTCTCACCTCAGCCCGCCACCCCCTTTCTCACCTCAGCCCCCCACCCAGACACCACGCCCCCCGCCACCCCCCTTTCTCACCTCAGCCCCCCCACCCAGCCACCACGCCCCCCGCCACCCCCTTTCTCACCTCAGCCCCCCACCCAGACACCACGCCCCCCGCCACCCCCCTTTCTCACCTCAGCCTCCCACCCAGCCACCACGCCACCCCCTTTTCTCACCTCAGCCCCCCACCCAGACACCACGCCCCCCGCCACCCCCCTTTCTCACCTCAGCCCCCCACCCAGACACCACGCCACCCCCTTTCTCACCTCAGCCCCCCACCCAGCCACCACGCCACCCCCTTTTCTCACCTCAGCGCCCCCAAACCGGGCCCCAACCCAGCCCCTCGGGCCCCCCCCAGACCCGGCCCCGCGCCTCTCTCACCCGGCTCCAGCCGCTCGGCGCCAAACACCGCAGCGTTCTCCCTCTCACTTCGCGCCACCGGCCCGAACCAGCCCCGCCCACGCGCCCCATAGGCTCCTCTGCCCGGCGTCTCCACCAATCGCGCGCCTCCGCGCCAAGCCAAGTCACGGCCCGAGCCGCCCGGCAGCCAATCAGCGCCCAGGGAGCCGCCGCGACCCCTCCCCCTTCCCTCCCGGAAACCGAGGCCCCCGCGGAGGACTACGGCTCCCAGCAGCCTATGCGGCAGAGCTGAGGCCGCATCGCGTGCTCACGGGGCGTAGTGCATGCCGGGAGATGGAGTCCCCGGGGAAAGACACGTGCTGGGACTGACGGACAGCCCGCGCGGGACAGGAGCTGGAGGCTGCGATACGCCCTGGAGCGGGGGGGCCCAGGGACAGCCCGGCCCGGAGCGGCGCCAGGCAGGAGCGGACTCAGCCACGGCCTCGGGCCAGCAGCTCCAGGGGCCCCTGCTGTTGGGGAGGGAGGCAGACGCTCCCTGCCCCCCCCCCCCAGCCACGCGCGGGGGGGTTTGCAAACGCCCGGGGCTGGACGCTGGGGCTGAGGGCCAGAGAGGGAAAATGCAGGCCTGGGAGCAGCAGGAGCCGGCCCCTGGCCTGGCAGGTCTTGCTGGGGGGGGGGCGCAGGGAGCCCTGTGTTTGGGGAGCAAGTGGGGGCTGAGCCACAGAGAGACTCGTCAGAGCACCTGGGGTGGAGGGTTTTTAGAACATAGGAACTGCCCGACGGGGTCAGAGCCAAGGCCCATCTCGCCCAGCGTCCTCTCTGCTGCCAGTGGCCAATGCCAGGTGCCCCAGAGGGAATGAACAGATAGGTTATCAGGCCGTGATCCATCCCCTGTTGCCCATTCCTAGCTTCAGGCACACAGAGGCTAGGGCCACTATTCCTGCCCATCCTGGCTAATAGCTATTGATGGACCTGTCCTCCATGAACTTATCTAGTTCTTTTTTGAACCCTGTTATGGTCTTGGCCTTGTCCATATCCTCTAGCAAGGAGTTCCACAGGTTGACTGTGCGTTGTGCAAAGACCTGCTGCCTATTTTCCCAGTGTGAGATGAATCACAGCTCTAACAGCCACCCAGGAGCAGGATTACTTCCTGCAGCAAGGCTCGGCCCTTGGTGAGCCCCGCCAAGGAACACAGCAGGTTAGCCCCAGCCTGTTAGAAGGGCGGTATCTGTAACTCCTGGATCAGTTCCGGCAGGTGAGTTAGCAGGATAGGAAGGCACAGGCAGGTCTCAAGCTTTGGAAGATCTGACCATCCAACCGCCACTGGAAATGGTAGTGCTCTCTTCTTCTTCAGGGACCAGAGCCAGACCATACCATTAGCAATACACACACATCCATCTCCTTCAACGAAAAGCAAAGGCATGAGCACGTAGCCCCAACAAAGTGAGAAAACATTTGCACTCACTGCTGAGGAAAAAGGACAGTCCCTACAATTAACTATATCACTAATTAATTAGTAACAGGACAGGGAGGCAGAAGGCTGCTTAAGGAAACTCCACGGGTGGTGCAGATCCAGCCCCGACTGCTATGGCATGATAGTTATGGTGATCAAGTATCCATAGCCTACCTCAGCAGGCATAACGGCAGCAGAGAAGCCAGTGACTGAAGCCTCTTCTCTGTGGCTGAGGAGCTAGGCTGGAAATTTATACCACTCCTACCTGCACTATCGCTGGAGGGCCGTTACCACTAAAAAAAACAAACAGAAAAACCCACTCAGGTATTTTTTGTAAGCATGCTTAAACCTACCCTTTTAACAAATCTAAGTCTCTCTCCAAGGCTGATGGGCAGGGTGTCAGCAGCCCTGGGTGTATTATTAAAGAAGCCTGCTAAATGCAAACTGGGACAAGGTGCCCAGAGATAAGAGTTAATATTAACCAAGTTTTCTCTTTGGCCCACCTCCACTCCTCTTCTCCCCACAGACCAGAAAATAAAGAGAACTGATAACATTACATCTTCCTCTTATGAACTCTAGTAGTGAGGTTCAGAGAACTGAGAACAGAGCCCCGGTGTACTAGGTACCTTACAAACACAATGCATGAGACAGCTCCTGCCCAGCCAGGGTTTATAATCTAAACAGATGCGGGGGAGAGGCACAGAGGGACTTGCCCAGGTCACAGAGCTGAGACTAGACCCTAGGTCTCCGGGATCAAAAGGCAGTACCGTACCGCTTATACAGCACAGCTTCTCAACCCCGTGAGAAAAATGGCAGCCAGCTCTAAGCACCTACTACTGGAGAATCAAACCTGCTGCAGCCGGCCACAAGCCGTGGAGTTATGGGGATCAGAAAGTAGCGGATTTTTAAAATCTGAAGACAGTACTGCAAACTGGGCAGGCAGTGATGGTGCCAGTTGGCTCTGTGCTCATCTGCACTAATGATTAGCATTCCACAGAACATTTACCTTAATTATGGTGAAGCAGCCACGCGCAGACTTCATGGAAGCCCTAGTTCGAGGAGAATTTAGAATGACAAGCTCCGGGAGCTGCGACAGAGCTGGGTTCAGGGCACGCACTGGGTCAGAATTCCTCTACTCAGAGGAAGTGGGGTTCTTACTCATTCAGCCACTAGGCCCGAGGCTGCTGCCCTGCAAGCCGGGAGTCCTTGGGTAGTGCCCAGCTCTGAGAAGTTTCCTAAGCAGAATTTTCAGAAAGGGAGTGGGGGGACAGGACTTGACTCTAGCTTCAATGCCATTGTTGCGTCCACTCAGCCCTGCCACCTCTGGACTCTGCAGAGAAGCTCCCAGACTGATGTAGGTAACTCAGGTGAAGGTCTGGCCAGGGCAAGCAGCCCATCTGAATCGCTGTCATGTTACAAAAACAGGCAGGGGCAACATTTGCTAATAAGACCTTCCAGCCAAGCCAGTAGCAAGTTGCAGGTCAGCTGCCTGTTCCATTGGCTACACAGCAGGCTCTTGGCATCCTCTGCCTTGGAGATAGCTTGATTGCAAACTTCAGGGCTGCTGAAGCCTTGGGATTTTCCCTCGTTCCTTCCTATCTGAGAATTCAATGCACTTCACAGACCCAGAACACTGAGATAGGGAAAAATCCCCCAGTAGAGAAATGGGGAAATCGAGGCACGGAGCTCTAAAGCCACCCTTTTTCAAATGTCTGTAGACACCCCCCATTTCAGAAGGGCTGAGCTGCTGCATGTCCCACTGAAATCCATGGGGTTGGGGGCACTCCGCACCTCTGAGAAAAATCCCATCCAGGGCCTCTCAGTCCAGGCAGCCGTGACCTCTGATTTGGCAGCCTGACACCAGCTGAGGAGCTGCACAGAACAGGACACAATACTTGGCACTTAGCTAGCAAGCTACAAGGGAACAGCTCAGAGCGCTTCAGGAAAGGCAGGTCTGAGTCACCCCATTTTACAGATGTGGACTGTGAAAACCCAGGCAGGTGAAATGACCTGCCACAAGTGATTCCTCCATCCAGCTGTTGTTTCCGCTGGGAGATGGGAGAGTGGGGGATTCACTAACCTGGCCAGCAGCTCCTTGGGGCCTCAGGGTAAGAATCTGAAGCACGACAGAACATTGGGATTATTATTTTAATAGTGAGGTTTAAAGAATTGCATGTAGCAGAGACAGGAAGAAACATACAAAATTAGACCAGAATCTGAGCTACAGTACACATCCCTCCAAGGGAGAAGTCAAACCTTTAGAGATGGCTACAGTCTTGCAGCAAAATGTAACAAAAAAAAATCATCATACAATAAATTATAAAAATCATGCGGACTCCACACACAGGTCAGATCTGGTCCATTTATACAACGGGCTGTCGAATACTTGAGCTCTTCCAAGCTGAGGAGCGGCTGCAGTGGGAGAGACTCAAGAAACTGGAACCCTTCCTCCCAGTGGCGCTGCAGTCAAGACGAACTTGGGATTTAAAATAGGACCAAACAGGTGAAAGGAAAAACAAATCTCAGTGGTGGGAATATGCATGCTGAATTGTTTCAGTCCGCGAAGCGCAAGGAGAGGAGTCCGAAATGCTTTGGACACAGGTAAGGCACCGTAAGCATGAATGGAGAACGTTTTTCGTTTTCTTTACATCCATTGACTGGTCTCTCACTGAAGACCCACTGAGCCTCTCCCTTCTGCAGCCCTTCGGAGCTGCTCCAGGTACAATGCAAGACTACGAAAAACAGGACTGTTAGGAAGTTTGTTTCCAGCCGATCCCTGTGATCCCAAAGAGGGCACAGCAGAGCCTTGCTAGCTGGAGCATCCAAACTGATTGCTCACCTCTTGGGGGTGGACACACCTCCTCGTTGGTGCAGTGTCTATTACTACAAAAAGCCCAGGCTCAAGGGCCCCATTTCAAGCAGTCAGGAAAAAAAAAAATCAAGCAAACCCCATGTTACGTTAAGCAAAGCTGACATTAAGCACACTTAAGTCAGGCTAGTTGAGGAAGCATCACATTGCCATACAGTGGTATCTTCCTGTTCTTCCTTCTGCCCCTCTTCCCCACCCAAACAAGTCTATGCCTCCTTTAAGGGCTCCCTGTGATCTACCATTAGCAGCATCCTTTGATGAGTCACAGACCAGTTTGGCCGAACCATCTTGGATACTCCCCGCATTGCTACAAAGCTGGTTCCGCCTGCGTTTCCCCACCGACCGATAAATGACCAAGGCATACAGACACCACAGCAGGGTGATGAAGGAAACGCTAACAGGTCTCCGACGAGCAGTGGAAGTACCACAAAACATATACAAGACAACATTCGAAACACCTAATAGCAAAGTGCTTTGGCCCAGAAGTTGCGATTTGAACAGAGGTGCATCTTTATTATTTTTATTTAAATGCAATTTCAAGCTTATTGGTTTTTATTTTTTCCTTTAAAAAAAACCCCCTCTGCTTCCAAAACAAGACTCACAGGAAGCGAACATTACAGGGAAATACTTTTTTTCCTTTTTTAAAATTTATTTAAACAAAAATGCACAGTGCATTAACTTCTCTTCCAACCAGCTAAGCTGGGCAGATATTTTTCCTCCAGAAAAACAAAAAACAAACCCAAAATTTCCTGTAACCGGGCAGTGGTCCTCAACATGAGTGCTGCCTAGTTCTAACATAAAAAGGATACATTTCCATCATCATAGAAAAAGAGCAGTTTAAAGGTGAGGATTTTAGTATACTTGCAACAAGCCCACCTTAATCCTATATTACAAGCTTTTTACAACATACAAAATAGATCAGTAACTATGATTAATGTAACCCCTCCTGGTTAGAGAGTAAATATACAGAATAATCATCAATCTGGTACCAACAGGAGGACAGAAGTAGTGTATAAGGCAAAACAACAGCTAGGTACTGGATTATTGTTAGAAACCATGGAATCTGAACAGTCATTAGCTAGTTTGGCCAAACGAGGCAATCCCCCCCATTAGAAATAGTGTGAAAACACTCTCTCTAGCCAGGCAACCCACAGTCAGAGCACGAGGACCCTGATCTCCCCCCCACAGATTAAAACCTATTTAGCAGGGTTTCCATATTTTTTGCTTATTAACATTACAACGATGATAGTCTTCCTGTTCAAATGATAAATCTGGTCATTTAGCATTAAAATCAGAGTACCCAGCAGGGCATGAAGGGCCATGCCACCCATCGGGAGCAGAGACAGCATTTTGCAGGAACCCATCGGTCTGATTAAACTGACCGCTCCCAATACAGCAAGCTCCGACACCACAGGCCGCTAGCTACCATCCGTCTCGTAACCAGGGGGCAAGCTGGAGATGCTTGCAGCTGCTGTTACCAGGTTAAAAAACCAGGAATGATTAGCCTTGTCAAATTCTCTTCCGGGGGGAGGAGGGGAAATCTAGCAGTGCCCTATTTGTTACAACAATGCGCTCTGAGGAAGGGCCACGCAGCCATGGACAGCATCCCCAGACAGAACACGGCCCACAAACAGCCTGCATGTTCCAGCCAGGGGTCAGTCCCTCTGGAACGGCTGGGATAGCATGCCCTGAGCTAGCATTTGCTCCGCCCAGTGTGCCCGTGTTCCTTTGGGACAGTAGGGTCCCCTTCGCTGTATCCATGGGGGGAAATGGCAGTTGCTGTGTCTGGGTAAATAACCATGTTAGTTTAAACTCTTCCTGCACCCTGTTGCTTTAGCTGACCTGATCAGTATATAGTGTTCTCAGCCAATAGTGTTCTAGACATTCCGCTTTTCAAAAACCCATCCCTTTTCCTACACTCCCGTCTCCAAATCTGACACCCCCTTCCCCCCCGGGCCCTTTCCCGCCCTCCCTTCTCCAAATCTGACGCCCCACCCCACATGCCCCTGCCCTAGCATGGAGCACCGGGGGGTACTGGCCACACCACGCTGGTTTCTGGCCCCAAAGCCATCACACACTGGCTTTCTTGCTTGGAGTTCACCCTACGTTATATTAACTTTGTGGACCAGGAGAGTCTTTTTGCACAGATCTGCAGAGTGGCGCAGGAAGCCTCTTTCCAGCGCGGCCCGTGGATCTGCAGCTATAAAGTGGAGGAAGGGACTCACCCAGGTAAGTCCAGGTATGAATGCATAGATGGAGGTGAGAGGGGATTCATCCGGGTTTGTTTGTTCCTTGCACCATTGGAAAAACAAAACAAGACACTGGGAGCTTCTCATGCAGGTTCCTAGGGGCAGGAGGGAAAGTCCATTCAAGGAAAGGAGAGGAGGTCTGTCTCCTCGCCAAGGAGCAACCAGGCAGTGCAGCTGGACTTCACCTGGGGATGGGAGGCAGCGGCGGGGCCCCCCGTGTTGCTGCAAGGCAAGGAAGCCGGGTTAGTTAGGCTGTAACAGGAAGAGCAGGAGTTTCCTGGCCAAGACACTCAGTTCAAAGGTCTCCTCACCAGCTGCCGTGTCAAGTATCGGTCCTTGGACACCAGCCTGGCCAACGGCTGCCGAGTCTGTGCACTCATGGGCCACTTCCCCCAGGGAATTCCCAAAACCTGGGATCCCTGTCCAGCAACCACAGACCCAGCCGTCACTGGTGCACGGGCTCGTTATCATCCCAGCTTCCAGCACTGCCCCCTGGGGCTCCAGCTTCCACCCACCCAGGGGATGCAAAGAGCCACCGCCCCCGAACGAGCCATGGAGGAGCCCAGTGAGAGGCCTGGGGTTTTGCAGGAGCGGGGGGGGGGGGGGGGAAATTAGGACTGCATCTCCAGCCAGTGCCTGTCAGCAGCAGGCTCCCAGGGAGCTCAGGTGGGGAGGCCAGAGCCCTGGAAGCTCTGCACTGACGGAGGCAGGTCTCTGGGGGGTGCTATTAGAAGGCACAATATTGCCACAGGCCATGAGCTTAATCAAGGCACCTTTGGGGTTAGACCCCATGTGTGAACAGGGGCAAAGACCCATCGCGCGGGCCTGGAGAAGCCTAGCAAGGGAAGACAACGGGCTGATAGAAAGGCAAAAGCCCATTGCTCGCTGCACAGACAGCCGGTGGACAGCAGTGCTCAGCAGTGGCTTTAGCCCTCCTGCTCTGAAGAGGTAGGTGCCACCCAGGTGGCTTAGCGGGACAGGCGCTGCGGAGTCCTCCACCAACCAGGCGCAGATGTTTTAGCGGCGAGACGCATTGGCTAGGTCCGTCACCTACCTCGGTTCGTTTTGCTGGGATAAGTTCTCTGGAAGTGTTTATACTCCTCTGGAGCTGGAAAGTCTTCGACTGGATGAAAGGAATATTTGGACTCAAAGTCATCTGGGAAGAAGGGAAAAGGGTGAACTAAGACAACTGAAGAGAGGAATCAGAAAAGGTCAGCTTGCACCCCGATTTCTCGGAGCTCCCAATCGGAGCCAGTGACGCAGAAGCGCTCTACTGCTGGGGGGGAGCACGGAGAACCTCTCCCCACTCGCGGGAGCTGCTGGGCATGTTGGAGATCCAGCTGTGCGAGTCTGAGCAGCTGGGGATGGAGATACCCATCCTGGTCATGCTCTGGGTGTCACGGGGGAGCGGAGTCAAACAGTGTCTGGCTAAGCAAGTCAGTACAAATGAACCAGAGGAGAATTTTTCAATCCCCTTGCAAGTTCCCATTTCTCTCTGTGTCATGCTGCCTGGCTGGCTGACAAAGGAGAATGGCTCCAGACACACGGCTGAATTTCCACCTGGAACCCGATCAGCGGGTGTTAATCACGCAGTTAGAGACACGATCCCATTGACGGGGGCCCTCCATTCACTGCACTAGCTGCAAAGCCACTCTGCAAGCATTAGGGAGTGCTGCGCGAGTGGAAATCAGGCCTTAGCCTCATCGAATAGTTGGGCCCCAGTACCTGTTAACTGGAACATGCTCCCTCCCCACCCTCTGTTCCTAGTGGGCCTGGACCCGATTCAGACAGGAGCCAAATGGTTCACGAGGCTCAAGTTCCAGTCGATGATGGTTAGGTTTTCTGAGTGGGGCCCATGACTCCAAGCCAGGGGGCAAATACAGAACCTGATCACTTCAGCCTCCATCAAATCCGGTTCCAGAGCAACGCACAGGGAGTTTGCCCACCCCAGCATGTCTCATGCCTGGCACTGCCCAAGGCCGGCAGGTTTTCATTCAATAGTTAAGGCCAGTGCTCTGCAGGAGTGGGGATTCCTGAAGGTTTCCCACCCCTGTAGCCAGCATAGACACCACAGCCAGGGAACACAGGGCTTCCCGCCACCCCCTAAAGCCTTCATAAGACCCTGAAATTCATCCATTTTATCCTCCCTTGTCTCCAAAGGAGCTAGAATTCTACCACGACATGGTATCAGAAGCCAGGCTGCTAGGGGCTAGAGAGACACGAGGCAATGAATGCCCTGGGGGGAACAGAATTCCTCTCTGAACTAAAGGAGGACAGCAATAGCGGGGTTCCACCCCGGAAGCGGGGAAGGGCAGAGTCAGTCCTGCAATAACACCCTTCGGAAGAAAGCATCTGGCTGTTAAGGGCAGGGAGGGAGGGAGCATTGTGCTCTCCTCCCAAGAGCCAGCCACAGCAGAGGCACTGTACTGGAGACAGACCCAGGAACGCTCGAGCTGCCGGAGAGTCGTGCGCCCACCCATGAAGATTCCTGAACTGCTGCAGCGTCAGCAGGGAGTGGCTCACACCTTGTTTACGTAGGACCTACAAGAACAGCAGTTTTCCATGCGCCTCCCCAACGCAGCGTCTGTAGAGAGCTGTTTGGAACCTGGACTGCATTGCCCAAGCAGGCCGAGGCAGGTTCTGTCTGGGGTCTAACATCATCTACTCACCCAAGAAAGATCTCATGGTGGCAATGGAATCTCTGTGCCCATTTCGCACGGGTGGAGGTGGAGGGGGCGGCCCAGCAGGTGTCCTGGTAGGTGGGGGCGGAGGTTTCCCTCGACTCGGAGGCTCCGATGACCCATGCATTCTGTAGGGGGGCGGGGGCGGGGGAGCATCACGACCACCATTCCGCATCAGCGGGGGCGGGGGTGGGGGGGCTGCAACAGAAACCCTGATCAGCACAGATAAGGACATAGGAACGGTCAGACCCATGGCCCAGCCGCCAACACCAGGTGCCCCTGAGCGAATGAACAGAACAACACAGCCATCGAGCGATCCAGCCCGTCGCCCACTCCCAGCTTTCAGCAAACAAGGGTCCGGGAGACTCTTGGATCATCGTGTCCATCCACGCAGCCTGGGCAGGACTGTGCCTCCCCCAGCACTCTCCAGTGAGGCATCCTCCAGCAACGGGGCACTGAGGGTTATTCCACCGCTTGGAAGGTACTGCCCAGTTCTCCAGTGGGCAGCCCAGCGGGGGACAGAACGCCAGACCTAACCCTCCTCTGGCCGGCTGGGGAGCCCACGTTCAACAATTTGTTACCATTGCAAAATCCCAGCATACAGCTCACCCGTCAGGCTCTGGACATTTTTCAAGCCAGTATTTTCAGGGGCCCACTCTACCCCCTCATGCCAGCCGAGACTCCAGGTTAGGCAGAGATGCCAGGCTAGAGCACACCAGGATCAGGGCTCGGCAAGTACCTACTAGAGCCTTTCTGCTGTTTCGTGCCCCAATGAGACATTTTCAGCTCATGTTCCTAATTAGGTTAATGAGACAGAATAATGCACCAGCTCTGTAGCGGTGACTCAACTGAGGGACTCCAGCAGGGCCACAAGGGGCTGGAGCTGGCAACTAACCGAGGCAGAACTGCAGCCTTGTGGCGCAGCCCGGGACGGTGCATTCGAAGAGCCCGATAAAATACGAGTGCTGTGCTTTCCCGACTCCAGGGGCTGACCACAGGCGGATGCTCGCACGGCCACGGAGCCACGTGCGAGGGGGAAGCTGAGGGCATCCGGGAGAAAACGCAAAGAGCTTGAAGAGAAAATGTTGCCTTAAGTCGTGCTCGGAAAGGCTGACATCAGACCCTGAAGCTCTGACTTTCTCCCAGGAAGCTCCTGCAAACGAGGGCTCTAACGCAAGGGACAAGTTCCAGGAGGAGGCTGAACCCCCTCAGGGATCAGACAAACACATCGGTAAACCTGACAAACGAACGCCCCTTACCCGCAGCAGGCACTGGGGATTCCACCCCGCCCCCTTGTCTCTCCTCACACCTGGGGAGCCACGCGGCTACACCGCTGCAAACCATCAGGAGCCGGCAGCCGCGTCTCGCGTGGCTGCCTGACAGCCACACTAGCTCCGGGGCTGCTGACCAGGGTGCGCTGGAGGGGCTCTTACCTGCTCCCCTGCTTGGAGGGTCTCGGGCTGGCGGAGGGGGTCGATTGCTCTGGAGTGACGGGGAGGCCGAAGAGGGTGGAGGAGGGGCCATGCCCCTCACGGAGCCCGGGGTTTTCCTATGCAAAGAGTTGTGTCTCTGGGGCAGCTCCGGGGCCAGCTCGTTGATAGGGCTGGAAGGGCCATTGTGAACGCCGGGGGGCTGCCGATAGGGGGGCGGAGGGGGAGCTAGAGACTGGTTCTGAGAACTTGGCCCCGTTCGGACATTCACTGGGGATGGGGGGGCTTGAAGGGGGGGCGGTGCTGGGGGGCCATCCCGGCCTGCGGTGAGCCGCTGTCCTGGAGTTGGTGGTAACGGCTTCTCCCGGTTGTAGGAAGGCGCTTTGCTGCCATGCATCGGAGGAGGTGCGGGGGGTGCGTTGGCTCGGCGGCCTGGAGGCGGGGGTGGAGGGGCAGACGAGCTGTGTTTCATGCCAGTACTGCCTGCGCTGTTGGGCCGGGAAAGGTCAGGCAAGGAGGGTCTCTGCATCCGGGGAAGCTCGGGAGGGGAAGCCCGGTTGTTGTCGGAGTCATCATGAGGTCGGCTGTTGGTCACAAGCACCGGGGGTCTTGGGGCTGCTGATCTGGAGCCAGGAACCTGAAGCGACTGCTTGCCAGAGGAGCTGTCTGTGACGGACAGAAAGCTGGGTTACTTGCCAAGGGAGGAAAAGGGTCCCAGCCGGCCTAGGGCTTGAGTTGAGGGAGATCGATGGGCCCAGCTTGGTCTGAAGGGACACACTGGAGCCAGTGCCCGGCACACAATTCGGTGGAGCCAGAGCGCTCAGCTCAGGAGAGTGCCAGGACAGGGGAATGGCAAGCACAGGGATCTCCAGAGGGAGCGGAAAGCTCCCCTCCCAGGCAGCACTAATTAACCCTCGCAGGTTCTGAAGGCCAAGGTTATGCACAGAAGAAAGGCAAAGTAACATTCTTCTGTTAACACTTGGTGCACCTAGGGCCATTCCCAAAGCACGAGACAAGACAAGCCTCATCCCACCCCGGGAAATAAACTATCCTTAATGGGACAGATGGGGGAAACTGAGGCACAGAGGGATGCACTGGTTTACCCAAAGTCCCAGACAGGATGGCTGTAAAAACTGGGATTATCGCCTGGCTCATAGGCCTGTGTTCAGACCATTCTCCCGTCTGGGCCAGCCTGGTAACCCTGGTTTCATGCAGTGAGAACCCCCAGCCCTTCTGAGACCAGATCAGGTGCCAGAGCCTAGCGAGGGCGGGGGGCCACGGAGGGACTGGTGCATTGCAACGTGCTGTGATGCGCCCCCGCACCCCAGCAGCATTTCAGACCCCCCTGCTCGACGCTGGTGACCAGTAAGCAACGGCAGCGAGCGATTTACTGGGTACCTGAGTTGTCCTTCGCTCCTACGGGTCTGAGCTTAGGGACGCCCCCTTGGAAGAGGCCCCCTTTGGGCTGGAGCGCTGCTGAACTGGACCCGCTGCTGCCGCCGCCGCCTCCTCCCTTGGGCTCTGAAACAAGAGGGGTCCAAACTCAGCCCCTAACACAGCCTCCCTCCCAAGGGGCCCCTTTCCTTCTCGCGGCTTTGATTTGAAGCATCCCAGCTCCAGGTGCAGCATGCCTCAGATTAGGCAGCACCGGGCGCGTATGCGGGGCATTAGCAGTTCTGTTCACCCCCACTCGCTGTCGCTCCAGGACCACTAACTGAACGGTGCCTCTCACGTCTGCAGCTGGAGCACCAATATTCCCCCAGGCCTTGGCTCAGGAGTGAGTGCGTGTTCACAGAACGAGGACTGTACGCCTAGGAGCATGGGGCCTCAAAAGTTTCTAAGGGAAGGTGGGGGAGAAACCAACTCGGCCAGTCCGGAGCAGCCATGGGGCTGCTGCAGTTTCACAACAAATGCCCTTCCCAGCAACGGCAGCAATTTGGAGGAACACCTACGGGAGGGGCTGGAATTGCAGTTAGAGGTGGACAGGAGGCTTTGGGGCCAAGAGGCACCGCACGGCGCTTTGGACGCAAACGCCTAGGATACTCACTCTCCAGGACTGGAGCGCTCCGGTCATTGACCTGCGTCACCTTTTTCAGTTTGGGCCCTTTGCAGATATCTTGGAGCAGGGCTCCTCTACCTCGCTGCTCATCTCGGCTCAGCTTCGGGAGCTCGGTGTTTGCCTAGAGACAAGAGGGACATTACAGAGAGAAAGCAAGTCAGTGCCAGGCACGTTCCCAGCCCTGCTGGTACAGACGGGCTGGCTGGAAGTCTCATTACAAACCAACCCCAATCCCCCCATTCCAACCCTGACTGCAGCCCCTGGCAGCAATGCACTGTCCCTTCCCGCCACAAGGCAGCTCTGCTTCAATCCCTCCCTTCCAGACGGAGCATCGCGCCAGACCCAAACCAAGGCACACGCAGAGTTCTCAGGTAGTACCGGGCAGGTTCCTCCTATGCCCAAGAGGAGCATCGCTACAGTCCTCGCCCCCTTACCCCACACATAAGTATCCCCATCTCCGCTGGGTCAAAGGGGCATAAGAACCACACCTGAGATTCTTTGCTCTCCCTCTGGGGCCATTTGGGAGGGAAGGGGGCAGCAGCCCCACATCACAGGATCTCAGCCCTCCCCTATCGCGCCTCAAATTGGCTTTGGTGGAGGAAGCGCCACTCCCAACTGACAGGTGATGGCAACCGTTAGCCCACCAGCAACTTCACTTCCCCTGTTCCCTCGTCTCATCCCCTGCTTCTGACCAGCTCCACTTCCCCCGCTGCCCAAAACGCGCCTAGCTCTCGCTGCTGAGCAGGGCCCTGTCTCACGCCAGAACTTCTGCTAGTGACACGTCCATAGGGCTGGTCATGCTGCCCAGCTGAGCCCTGAGGGGACACTGCAGCAGGCAGTAACCACACAGTGCCAGATCAGAATCATGCACACAGGGCACAATCTCACAGCATCACCTAATTAATCAACACGTCTCCAGCACTTAGCATCGTCCGTGTCACATGGGCATTCACTGATCCCCACCACACAGCCAGGGAAACTGAGGGCAGGAGTCAGGTGACTTATCCACAGTTACACACAGTCTCTGGAGTCCCATTCAAGCTGCCGCCAACAGCTCCAGCAACGCACCAGGGTGTCCAGCCAGAGAAAATGCAGCTGTGAAGAAAGCACCCCATGTACATGAGCCACCCCAGGAAAAGGGAAGTGGCAGGGCAGAGTAGCCACTAGCCCCAGAGAGAGGGGGCGAGCGGGGCCGTACCTGATTAAAGGTTGGCGGTGGAGGGGGGCCAGGAGGCGGTGGAGGGGGAGGAGGTATTGGCATCCTTTCCCACTCCTGGCTGGCTCAGTCTGCTTAGCGTCCGTGGAGCGTTTGGTCCCTCATATACCTGCAATTCAGACAGAACCAGTCAGGGACCCGCAGGCCGTTTCAGCAACACAACTGTGCAAGTCCCAGGGCAAGGAACGGCAACTGGCACGAGCGGGCCACGCTGTCTGAAACACCCCACTTCAGCAGCTCCCGCCTTTCTGAGAGTCCTCAACGACGCGGATCCTGGGAGCAAATCACAGGCGGACGCTGAGCACAGAGCTTTAGGATACAGCACCACACGGACGTCCGTCGGTACAGAGACTTCTCCAAGGGCTTGGCTTCAGGAGAGCAATACCTGTGAGCTTCGAGCGCCACCTCCTGGCCAGCTTAAGGTGCGAGATTCCTTGAGAGGCAACTACTTCAATCACACCTGGAAGAGCAGCCTGGGGGCAGCTACTATCTGTAGGAACCCAGGGTATCCCCCAGACCCTGTATCTGGACCCGCTTTTAGGTCCCTAGCAAGGAAGGCTCAGCACTTGCTCAGGAAGCATGGCTGGCGAGAGCTGCAAAGCATCCAGAATTCAATTTATTTTTAACCCAATCATCTCACTTGAGAAAGGAACAAACCAGCTACCTTGATCCTACACTCCATCAATCCACACCGCTTCAGCCACAGCAGGCGGCTGCTAACGCCAGGATTTAACGGGCCCATGACATCTACAGCTCATCAGTGGAAATCAAGAGCTAACGCTGCAGAATTCCCAGGCGGGAGCCACAAGCCATAAATGTATCTACATCTTTTATTGTGTAAATCATCATCAAGAACCATTTGAGATGGAAGAGACCTGGAGCCTGCACCCCTGGGTCACAGCAGGGGAGAATCTCTTCTTCCTGAACCATCCCTGAGAAGGAGGCATTAACGGCCAGATTTTCAAAAAGGTTCAGATCCCACACAGGCGCCAATGCAAAGGGCCAGCGGAGTACCTGAAAATCTGGCCCAGTGTCTAGGTTATTTCTAACAGTGACTCCAAAGTGCCCCATGGGAGCGTATTTCACTGTCTGAACTGTTCATATAGAAATATCCTAATAATGTATCTGAGTTCTACCTTACCTAGCACAGCCACCACCAGCCGCTGTTAGGCCTTTGAATAACCTGGGTACTGAACAGCCTGTACAAACCATCCACTGTCACAAATGAAACATTTCCGTGGAGGAAAGAGATAAAGGCACAAGATGGTGAATCACCAGGTGACTGCAAGACACCGATACCTGTCAGAGCCATTAGTCTGACAACATGAAATTACAAAATTAAAACTCTCAAGCAGTAGCGGCTAATGGGATTGGAATGTGATGAACACCAGGACTCACTGGTCAAAGCAGGAGTTACATGTGCTCCAGATCCCTTGCCCAGATCCCATCATAAGCAAACCAAGGAGTTTAACAGGCAGCTACATGACCTAGCAAGACGGTACCAGTCCACATTCTTTATAAACCCTGGCCAACCTTTGAGAGGTGGGACGTCAGCAACAGAGGCTGCAACGGGGGCTTGTAATAAGACCTTCATCATTCCTACAAGATAAACTACGGAACAATTTACTAGCGAGGCAACCCACATTGTCTGAAGAAATCAATCATGTGCATTTCAGGTTATCAAAGCAGCTTGTTTTTAAGCTGTGTCCATTTCCTTTCATGCTAATTCACAGAATCCCGCCATTCCCACAGTACTCCTTCCACGATCAGAGCAAATTAGGGAGGTTCTAGTCTCATCATTTATATGTATTGCCTTGTTTAAAGGGACACCAGCAGACAAAGAGTCAATTTAAAAAAACAGAGTTCAAAATAATGTAAAGGACTTTCCTTGCCCTAGAGCCCACATCCCAATATTTGTGGTTTTACAACCCCTTCTCTAAAAATGTCCCTCTCTTGCTGGTGGGTGAAAGAGCCATACAGACAGCGGGAAAGAGTGAAACTGGCCCTACACAAACTGCTGTTAAATACATAAATAAACCGAAGAAAAATATTTGTCTAAGTCTTTTGTTTAGTGTGATACTAAGTAGCACTTGAAACATTACTAGGAAAAAAATTCAGATAGAAACATCTCTTTAAATAACGAGGCTCCCTGTTTGAACACGGCACACCAAGTGAGCGCTGCAATCCAGCTACCCAAGAGCCCTTTCAGACAACAGCTCTTCATTTTGACACCGCTGTGGAATTCTGTTCGGGATGAGATCCTGCTTTTAAATAAAATCTAGACCTCATCTACAGCTATTACTCGTCTCAGCACTTTCCAGACTCTAATCCCAGACCTGAAGAAGAGCTCTGCGTAAACTCAAAAGCTTGTCTCTTTCACCAACAGAAGTTGGTCCAATAAGACACTACCTTACCCACCTTGTCCTCACAACAATCAAGAAGGCAAGTGAATTGGAGTAAGACATCAAATCCACTCAGATAGGAACTCGCACACAAGAACAGATCTGAAAGAGAACAAATTTCTCGGCTGGGGTTTGTCTGCGCTGCCTTCACTGCCTTCGGTGTGTCTGAACAGGAGCTCGCTCCCTGAGTAGCATCACGTGTGCTCCCACTCCTTCCTGCGATGAACTCATGCTTTCGTGTTGATGTTCGCACCGCCTGTTGCCACAGAAGCGACTGTGATGTCACAAGGCCAATACTGTGATTTCATAGCTCGGCGGAGAAGATGAAAATAGCTTGGGGTAATTAGCTTACACTAACAGCTGGGAAATGCGCACGGGGTAAAGATTTATGATTCAGTCTGAGGTATTTGAAAGCCATGCCTGGCACCCAACTTCCTCTTTAAAAATATCAAAGCCATGAAGAACTGCTCCCCATCCTCTTGACGCGTGGCCTGTAGGAGCATTCAGATGATTAGAGGAGTTATCAGCAAGGTAACGGATCTCCACTGAGCGGAAATCAAAGTTCAGCAGCTTGCTACGAGCATGATCAGGCCTGATGGAATCCCGATCGCAGTCCATGCAAAGGAAGGTGTTGCTATCTAGCCCTGTACTTACACAACAGCACTTCCCATAGATCCTGAACATTACATACACCAATCCTGCCCAACCGTGCGAGTACCAGCCGTGCTCAGATGCTACGGAAGTAATACGCGGACGACTGTGATAGGCACCCTAGACCAAGAGCTGCAACCACCATTCCACAGACACCGAGTACGTGATTTGTTTACGGTCACAAAGCAAGTCACTGGCAAAGTCCAGGATAGAATCAGGGCACACCTGCTTCCACATCCTACTTCAGACCCCTGGGACCTCACTGTACCTCGAAGATCATTACTCAACTTTCATCAGTTTGACGTGCAATCGTTCAGTGGAACAGAGGGGAAAATCCCGCAGAATTAAACTGAGTGACTGTGGGGCTGGTTGGGGAAAGATTCTCACAGTACTTATGGATGCACTTTAATCTCTGAACGCTTTACATTGAGCAGAAGTCCCAGTCTACTGAAACAGGCGTTCAAATAAAGGTTCTGCCCTAGAAGAAAAAAAGCAGAAAGAGTCTAAGCTAAAGCAGCTCAGAGAGAAAAGGGAGCTAGATTTCTAATGACCAGGTCACTTCATTTTAACGTGTGGCCCAATGCACATTACGGATGAACCACTTGGCAAGGTGGGCAAGGGAATATCTTTTATTGGACCAGCTTCTGTTGGTGGAAGAGAGAAGCTTTCAAGCGACACGGCACTCTTCCTCAGATCTGGGAAAGGTCTCTCGTATATCCTGCAACTAAACACGGCTACAAACCCCTCAGCAAAGGTCAGGTTTAAAATTAAGAGCCAATGAATTCAACTGAGCTCAAAAAACAGCCCCTATTGGAGCGCGTTACTTTATACCGAGAGAAACCTGAAGAAAACTCCAAAGGAAGGCTGAAGTAATCTAGATCTTGGAATCTTAAAAAAACAAAAACAAAAAAAACCCACATCTTTTGTTAGGTTCATGAAGACAGTCAACACAGCTGATAAATTTCAGAGTAACAGCCGTGTTAGTCTGTATTCGCAAAAAGAAAAGGAGTTCTTGTGGCACCTTAGAGACTAACCCATTTATCTGAGCGTGAGCTTTCGTGAGCTACAGCTCACTTCATCGGATGCATACTGTGGAAACTGCAGAAGAGTCTCTCACAGCAACACTTACAGGCCCTTCCCGTTGAGTCTGCACCTTATGGGAAACGCGCCCCTTTGACACAATGCAGTTAAGACAGCCGATGCCCAGCATTTCATTTGCTTTGTCCTTTATTAACCAGGATTTTTACCTGGAAACAGATCTTAATGTTCAAGGGTTTTATACGCTCCGGCGGTTTAGCCTCTGGTTTGTGGTGGAAGCAATTTGAAAGACCCAGAGCAGGGCAGCATGCAAAAGGCACCGTAATAGACTAAAGCACAGAACACAGCCAGGCTCTTTGGGTAAACCAGAGGAAAAAGACATTTGCCATTTAGTGGGTCTTTTATACATAAAAATAAAGGAAGCATCTTCTTCCCAGTTTCTTCAGTTGAAGAGCTCAGAAGGAGGCAAGTGGTTTTTGGATGGCAAGGTAACCAGGCCTCCTTTGACAGAGATCCTTTATAGTAGCCATTCAGAACTCAGCTTGTGTCCCACCCACTGGAAAACTTATACACTAGTTCATCCGCCCAATAAACCCAGATCAGAAGTGGTCTATTTGCAAGCACTTCTATTGAGCGTAAGAACAAGTCCTTTCCCCCACCCTTTTAAAGAATAACTAAGCCAAACTTCATGCTCAGAAGCTGGATTGTAGTGACCAACTGTGCTTAGCCTTCGAAAATCCACACAGATCAAACCCATGCTGGAAGTAGTTTAAACTTTCTAAAAAAGAAAAGGAGTACTTGTGGCACCTTAGAGACTAACCAATTTATTTGAGCATGAGCTTTCGTGAGCTACAGCTCACTTCATCGGATGCATACCGTGGAAACTGCAGCAGACTTTATATACACACAGAGTATATGAAACAATACCTCCTCCCACCCCACTGTCCTGCTGGTAATAGCTTATCTAAAGTGATCATCAGGTTGGGCCATTTCCAGCACAAATCCAGGTTTTCTCACCCTCCACCCCCCCACACAAATTCACTCTCCTGCTGGTGATAGCCCATCCAAAGTGACAACTCTTTACACAATGTGCATGATAATCAAGTTAGGCCATTTCCTGCACAAATACAGGTTCTCTCACCCCCTCACCCCCCTCCCAAAAACCACACACACAAACTCACTATCCTGCTGGTAATAGCTCATCCAAAGTGACCACTCTCCCTACAATGTGCATGATAATCAAGGTGGGCCATTTCCAGCACAAATCCAGGTTTTCTCACACACCCCCCCCACCCCCCATACACACACAAACTCACTCTCCTGCTGGTAATAGCTCATCCAAACTGACCACTCTCCAAGTTTAAATCCAAGTTAAACCAGAACATCTGGGGGGGGGGGGGGATAGGAAAAAACAAGGGGAAATAGGCTACCTTTGGATGGGCTATCACCAGCAGGAGAGTGAATTTGTGTGGGGGGGTGGAGGGTGAGAAAACCTGGATTTGTGCTGGAAATGGCCTAACTTGATTATCATGCACATTGTGTAAAGAGAAAAGGAGTACTTGTGGCACCTTAGAGACTAACCAATTTATTTGAGCATGAGCTTTCGTGAGCTACAGCTCACTTCATCAGATGTTTACCGTGGAAACTGCAGTTTCCACGGTAAACATCTGATGAAGTGAGCTGTAGCTCACGAAAGCTCATGCTCAAATAAATTGGTTAGTCTCTAAGGTGCCACAAGTACTCCTTTTCTTTTTGCGAATACAGACTAACACGGCTGTTCCTCTGAAACCTGTCATTGTGTAAAGAGTTGTCACTTTGGATGGGCTATCACCAGCAGGAGAGTGAATTTGTGTGGGGGGGTGGAGGGTGAGAAAACCTGGATTTGTGCTGGAAATGGCCCAACTTGATGATCACTTTAGATAAGCTATTACCAGCAGGACAGTGGGGTGGGAGGAGGTATTGTTTCATATTCTCTGTGTGTATATAAAGTCTGCTGCAGTTTCCACAGTATGCATCCGATGAAGTGAGCTGTAGCTCACGAAAGCTCATGCTCAAATAAATTGGTTAGTCTCTAAGGTGCCACAAGTCCTCCTTTTCTTTTTGCGAATACAGACTAACACGGCTGTTACTCTGAAACCTGTCATTAAACTTTCTAGACATTTGTGAAATCCAGATGTGCTGTAAAGGGAAATAACTTGTTTTCTAAAGCATTCAGTATTGATCCAGTCAGGACTTTTCATTGGAGATGCAGCAGTGCCTTTCACAGGTCAGGAGCACATTTCCTCACCTTTCAAAGGGATTTGGGTACCGTGCCAGATTCATATTTCATAGTTACAATGCTTCTACGGCTAGTTTGCATTTGCAAACCAAGATGAAGAAAACATTTCATCCTCACAAAGGGCAGTGGCTTTGAACTGCAGATTGGAGTGGAATTTCCAATCCTTATGATGCCGGACTGATTGCTGGATGTAGCTATAGTAGCTTTTAGACTATACACAAGATTAGAGCACTTCCATAATTTCCTTCTTCAGCATCCCGAAAGTATTCCAGATCCTGGACTCAGTATCCCAGACCCAACCCTGAAGTGTGACATTCCTGAGTCTCTGTTTCTGAAGAGCACAGAGGTTGCTACATAACTAATTTACTCTGCAAAATATCTCATAATTGAGGGTCAGTCAGGCTTTTAAAAATGTACCATAAATGTTTTAAGAGAGCAAGCTGCCATCTCAATTCAGAGCTTCTCGGACACATGGCCCATCTCTGAGTGCAAACAGACATACCTGCTTCAGTTTGCAGGACTCAGACACTCATCATGAATTATTAACAACCCACGGGCCCTGACAGTGCATTTTTAACAAACCTTGAACAAAAGTTTCAGATGCCTCAGGGCCAAATTCCAGGGTCCTCAATGGAGCAAGACCCCGCTTTGCAACTCAGTGGGAGCTTTGCTCCATTGGAGGGCTGCCAAGTTGGACCGTGCATTAACAGCTTTCCAGAAATCTTAACTTTCTTCATTTGGCAAAGGAAGAGTGTCAGCAGGATCAAGGAATCCTGTCATCACATCAAACTGAAGCAAAGGAAACAGTGATCTGGCAAGGAGGAAACACCCCTCCCATAAAAGCTTAGGGATTTCCCTCCCCCTCCCGCCACAGAACAACCCATGAGGTGCAGAGAGGGATGGGGACGCATGTGACGAAAACTAACAAGAGGACTTTTCTTATCAACATTTTATTTTAAAAAATCCTCTACTGATCATTTAACTGACAACAGTAAATAGAGACTGAATCAAGGGCTTTCTGAGGCTTTAGAATGTGACCCCATAAAGGCATTTGGGGAGGGGAAAGGGGGATGCATTCAACTGCACCACCCACGCCTCCAACCAAACAATATGCTGCAAGAGGAAAAAGGACCCCAGTGCCTTTGTTTGATTGACGTTAGTAGCTTATAGTTCAAATAAAAGTTACATTTCTTTAGCAACGGCCAGTAATCCAACATCCCCGTCCACTAAGAGCTCAAATAGCTGCTTGTACGTTCCAAGTAAATTAAACTCTCACAATTGAAAAGAAAAAAGGGCTATGGTTTAGTTCATCTCATATAGGCCAGGAGAACGGTCTCAGAGCAGAATTTAGGTGCAACAACAGAATGTACTAGGCAAGGAGAACGTCCAATGAAATTAGACTCAGCACTGAGCAATGCAGAAGCGGAGGAGACGTCACTGGCTAGGCTGATAGCATTTTCAAAAGGTGCTAAGGGTCTGTAAGAGTGCATCTTCACCTCTAGGGCACCCCCTCATGCCTGGACGCGGTGCTGCAGGGAACTTTGCCTCTCGCGCCCTAACCGGTGGCCACTTCCTTGGCCCCACGATGGCCAGTCCCAGCCCGTGTCTTCTCCTGACTCCCTCTCTGAGTGTGTCCACACTGTAATAAAACACCAGGGCTGCTCCATCTCAGCTGACTCGGGCTGCAGGGCTATGAAGTTACAGAGCAGACATTTGGGCTCAGGGCTGTCCAGACTGCTCTTCTTTATTCCCATGAGTTCTACGTTCTTCGCAGTTTGAGTCATTCCCACCCATCCTTACTTATTAACGGACCAGCTGTCTGTGGAGCACTCCTCAAAGATACCTTCTCAGCCCTTCTTGTTCCATGGAAGTCTCTGGCCTTTAACTTGTTCCTTTTGCTATCCTTTGTTTTTTCCCCTGTAGGCCACAAGGGACTGGACGTACTGGTTTGCCTGCCTCCTCCACTTTCTAGGAGGGATTCTTTCACAGGCTGGGATCTCTGAGCACTGCCTTGGGAGGCAGCACTGGCCACAACAGTCCCTTGCATTCTTCTCTTTCAGTGTGGGGAGAGATCTCTCGTCCTTCCTTGCGATCTAGCGAAAGCAGGCTCCTGGGCCCAGGGACATAGCCAAGTATTCGCAGGGTTTTCCTAGGCACGGGCCAAGCAGAGATGGACCAATTTATAATCCAGACTATGCAGGGCAAGGAACAGGCATGCAGTGCAAGTTATTTTGCGTAGCTACCACAAATGGCCAATCCTTGCTGTAACAATGTGGGAACCGTTTAATGGAATTCCACCAGGAGAGTCTGGTTACCCCGAGCTGAGCCAAAGCCAGGATGACCTCACAGAGAGAAGAGATGCAGTCAGGAAACCGTTTGCTGTATGTTTTTTTAAACCTAAGTGGCTAAAAACGCTGCTGCTTCTAACCAGTTCTGCAGTTCACGAGCAATTAGGAGCAAGTTTACAAGCCCAATGCCCATCTATTCAGTGCTTGCGAGTGATATTGGGTCATTTATACAATCGCTCAATGTTTGTACACAGTTCTGAAGACACAAAAGCATTACACATGGGCCCAGTGTTATGCTGGAAGAGCCATATGGGTGCTTTATGGCATAAATATGCAATTCTACTGCCAATGGCAAGACTATAACATCGCTCTCTCTGCAATCCAGCCTGCAAGGCATTCTGCTATCCCCACCACTACCTATGCACTCTGGGAAAGACGTCAAATGGAAGCATCTTCCTGCCAGGTGTGGTGGATAGTCCATGTGGATCCCCAAATCATTTTATTAATGCCATGTCTTAGCCATAGGCCATTGTGCATAACCCGGGATCACTAGATTAAGACAATCTTGCAGTCCTTACTCAGGCAAGGCTCCCACTGAAGTCAACAGGAGCTGAAGGAGCAGGTGTTAGGGCCTTCACCACAACAGCTCCAGTTGCAGGGGCGTGTGTGTTTTGCAAGGGTTGGGTAAGTGTAAGAAAGGTCTTGTGTCAACACGGGGGTGAAACTGACACACCTGCAGACTAGAGCTCAGTACCCAGCCCCGTGGACTGATTTAATCACTCAATGCAAAGCCTCCAGTTCACTGGCTGATTTAACCTGAGTTTTCCACTGGGACTTTAGAAAATAACTGAACAAAAGCACATTCTAATTGATTGATCTAACCAGTTAAACATGTTGATTTACAACTAAATAGAGCCTTTACACGAGATCTGCTCCATTGCTTGGCCGCCTAGGAGGAGCCGCTGTAGCTATCCACATTTATTTAAGCAATTATCTAGCTTACACCTGAGAATTTGTAAAATGTTACGAAGTGGTGAATGATACATTGCTTACTTACCAGCTAATTCACTTTTTGTTCCTGATTTGTATCAAGCCGCGCTAGGGTGGTAACTGGAATTACAGACAACACCATGTTTATTTTATAGGGAAACGTTTTGAGAGATTATAATCAATGTATAGTATCTATAGCACATTATAATAAATAGTCCGTACTAAATTCAAATTTTAAACAGGTTTATTTTTAAACAAGAAAATTTCAACCTTGGCAGAGTCATCCCCGAGGTGGTCTGCACTACAGAGTGAGGTTGGCTTAACTACATCGCTCAGGACTGTGAAAAATGTCACCCCCCCCCATATGGTGTCATTAAGCCAACCTACACCCGCGTGTAGACACCACGAGGTGGATGGACGAATTCCTCCCTCAATCTAGCTACAACATCTGGATTTATTACAGGGACGGAGAAGCCCCTCCCAGTACTGTCGTGTCTACACTGCAGCTGTCGCGCTACAGTTGTGCCATTGTAGCACTTCCAGTGGGACCCGAAAGTCACCCTGGGTCCGTTCTGGCCACGCATCGCCAGCAAGAAAGCCTCTGTCCTGTTCTGCCTCGTGCACGGAGACAAGTAATAGCCTCCCAGAGCTGCCAGCGCTTCCAAGGGAGCTGCTGCTCTGGTGTCCAAGGACGGGCTCTGGAGAACCAGGAGTAGGGCTAATGGGAGGTGAGAAGCCAAGACTGCTTGTCAGGGGCAATGGCAGCATCTCATTCATCCTGACCATGCAACCAGAGTGTCTCCAAATCACAATCCCAATTCCACCACTGAGTGTATGACCCATGGCAAGTCACAGCCACTAAGAGCCTCAGTTTTCCCTTCTGCAAAATGCGGGCCACGAAACGGACTCACCTTTGTGAAACGCTCCAGTACTAAGTGCTGTTACTGTGCCCCAGAAGCACAGAGAGGGAATTGATTCAGTAAGTGCTACTGGGAAGCCAGGAGATGAAAGAAGACAGTTTGTTTTCGTGGGATGTCTAACTAGGGACCATTTTCCCCCAGGCAACGTCTGTTTCACAGTGAAAACCCTACTTTTATTTTGAAGAATGGCTCTGTCTTGCCCTCTGAAAGAGCGAGAAGTAAGTAGGTCAGACAGACTTGAGGACCAAACGCCCTGACAGAATCGCTTGAAAGCGAAGAGAGCCCGGCGGCGAGAGCCCCGCTCTGGAGCAAGCGCCCTCACCTCTCCACTGGCATGCAGGTGACTGTCACGCCTCACTTCAAAGATAATGCATGAAGAGCCAATCCAGTCAGAACAGAAAATCCAATAACGGAGTGGAAATCTCGAGCAGCGACTCTCATTGCTGGCGCTAATGCCCTGGGGCCAGAGCCACAGAGACAGCTCGCTTCTGAGCAGCTTCAGAAATTCACACATTGCCATGACTTGATGGCCGACAACATAAAGTAGGGCTTTGATTTAGCACCAAGTTATGAACACCAGTCAAACGGACCCAGTGAAAGGGGAAGATAGTAAATCAAGCCAGCCTGTCTGGCTCTGAAGAGCAACGGCCCAGCTGCAAAGAAATAATGTCTGGAGAGAGGGGGGCAATTTGTGTGCAGATCCGATGGACAGCCTGCTCTCCCCCCAGCTGTGTGGTGCAGCTCACATGTCGAACGTATGCGAAGTTGCTGGATGCGACACTTTGTATTTGTTCAGGAAGCGACCGGTCTGGGCAGTTTCTGGCCCAATGCACAGCTCACTGTCACGCAGGGGGGGCTGGGCCCCTTCAGAGCCCTAAGCAGCAAAGCAATACAGCGAGAGAGCTGAAACTGGGCAGAATCTTGCAACGTCATTCGACAATTTGCAGCAAGAACCTAACTGACGACGTTTCCGATAAACTCTCCATGAGCGAGCCGAGAGGCCTAGCGGGTGTGCCAAACTACCCAGGAGTGTGACAACCGCAATAAGCCCTGGCACTAAAACACTAACGCAGGCATCAGCCCAGCACCGCAGGAGACATTCTTGGCAGGTGGGTCTGCCTCAGAGAGCACATTCAAATCAGCTCTCCTGCATGATGCCGGACAAATTCATGCCTTGCCTGAAACTGCATCGGCTCCTTCAGCAGCGGTCAAGGCACTACCGTGAAGGGGAATCAGCTTCACCAAACGCCTCTGGCGTTCTCTAGCAGGGCCACCACGGGCCACACCAAAGAGATCAGTAGCAGGCACAGCAGAATCCAAGGCTGCTGACAGCTAAACGAGGGGCCTCAGACAAAGCCACTGGGGCCTCAGACAAAGCCACGGCATCTTTCCAAACATTCCCACCCGCATGCAGTACATGAAATATGCTCTCTGCAGTGGTTCCTTTAAATGACTCCCCCATGTGATGCTTCTATCCTCGGCACAGCCCAATTTTAGGACACCTGCACAACCCCACGGAAGAAGCTGTAACATCCCCGTCCTGGCGCGCTTAAGCTGCACTTCGTCCTTGGCCTGAAGGTGTCTCTTTGCCTCCCTCCATGTACAACACCTGCATTTCAGCAAAGAACGACTTCCATGCCGATACCAGCTGGCTGCAAGAAACTGTTGGTAACGCCTGTGAAGTGCTCTCAAGGTGCCAGGAGCGGTGCATTCATTTATCTGCTGATCACTACATGCAATTCACATCTGCTTCCACAACATCCCGTCGGGCGACACTAAAATAACTGCTTGCCAAGGCTCCTGAACAGTTGCAAAGGGGGCCATTGTCTCTCTCTAAATGAATTTGGTTCTCAGAGCTACTGAATCAGAGATGGATTATTCATAGCTTATTAACTGCAAATGGATTTGTGTGAGATACTCATTCCAGATGCATCAGCTTGGAAGCTAGCTCAAGCTGCGGTTTGGAAAATACTCACTACGGACCCCAGAACACCAGTAATAACCTAGCTCTTACCCAGCACTTGCCATCAGCAGATCACAAGCGCTTTACAAAGCGGACGAGTATTACCACCTCATTTGCTAGATGAGGAAACAGGCACAAAGAGGGGCAGTGACTTTCCCAGTCACCCAGAAAAAGTAGTAGAACGGTAGTACTGTTCTAACATCAGCAGTAGAACCCAGGTCTGCTGAATCCCAGTCTAGTGCTTTAGCCATCAGGCCACACTGCCTGTAACACACTGCTTGCTGATGGCTGAGAATCCCTCCCTAATTCAGTCCCGGGCTACCCACCCCCAGCTCTGCTGCTGCCGCCTCTCACACCTGACCTGTCGTTCCAGACCCAGTTCCCACATGAGATTTGGCCAAAGCCCCTCAAAACCTGACATGCAGTTTCCCTGGCTCTTCCAGTACAAGACATTCCCTGTACAGTCTTGTGCTGGGACTGAATAGCCGAGTGAGAGAGCGCCCATCAATTAGGTGACAGTAGATGAGCAAGCCAACAGAATGCAGTGACAAGAGAAAATTCAACGCCAAGACACCTGGCACACACTCCGGCTGTGCAGAGATATTCTTCCCATACACAGCCCCCAACACGCAGCCAGTTCTGGAGCCCTGAAGATTATCTGGGGGCACCAAGATACCACACAGACAAATGCCTATAACAGACTAAGAGTCACAGTCTCTGTGCAGGCGAAACCTGAGCCTGGAAAAGCAGGAGAATAATAAAGGACAGGAATAAGCCGTATTACTTCTGCAGAGCAAGGGGGTTGGAAAGGACAGTGCTTATACCATGGCACATTGGCCTGACACCAGTTTCTTTCAAGCCATGATAAGACAATTATCAGCTGCCTTCTCGTTTGTTTGTTAAAACAAGGACTTTGCACGGGGAACCCCAAAGATTTACAATGGAAGCACAGAGCAGGAAGCTGGGGGAGCATACATTAAGGATTAATGCTGAGCATTTCCTTGCAGGAGCCAGGTTATCACATGATCAGTTAGAACCACGGCAATGCACAATTTACCAGATCAGATCAGACTATTGGTCCTCCCCAGCTGTTACCCTGCCTCTAACTGCAGCCAAGAGCTGATGCTTAAGAGGAAAGCAAGAAACCCCATCATGCACCTGACCAGTTGGGCAATTCTGTACATGGCCCAGGAGGAGAGTTCCCTGGCTGCAATTGGCTTGTCAGATTCCCCCAGACTACAGATGAAACTGAGGTGTTCTCTTGCAGCCCGTTCCTTAAAATCCAGCAACAGAGACAAACCCATCACACGCTAGCCAAGTTCTCAAGTATGTTGCTGGCAGTCTGTTTGCCTGTTTTTCCTCATCTGCACATAAACCTAGCTTTGAGAAGGCTAAAGGCTGGGCAGGTAACAGCCTGAGCAGGGATAAACACCTGGGTCAAGATGCTTGTGAGAGTCTGAGAACGGGTAATCCTCTGCCCCAAGACTGACGCTCCCTTGGCTGACCGTCCAAGTCCTTCATGGGAGAGTGGCCACACGTCGGAGAGGGCTCCGGGGGACCCCTGGCAGGCGCACGCGTTCAGGAGTGGGGGATGACTGGGAGACGGACGAGGAATTTGGAAGAACTCTGTGTCTCTTCTCAGAGAAGAAGGGGCAATTTAAGATTCGGCAGCACAAGCAGCTTGTCAGGCAGAGGCAGGTGCTTTGGCGATGCCGATAAGGCCGCAGCCTCCTTCCCAACTAGTGCGACGGGAGCGACACGAACAGCGTCCCACAGGAGCAGGGATGCCACGCACCGCCAGTGCTGCCAGGGCGTGGGAGAGAAGCACCGACACAGCGGGCCGAGAAGAACGAGGCCCCCCCCTGGAAAGGGAAATCCCACCTGCCTCATGCAGGGAGCAACACGGAGCCTTGGAACAGCTGGCAAGAGCCCCCCGACCCGCACCGAGCCCGCGGCCATTCACAAGGGCAAGACACATCCAGGAGGGGCTGAACCAGGGAGTGCGGGGCGGGGGGCGGCACCCCACTGGGCTGCAGGGAATCGGAGCCACCCCGTTCGCTGCAAGGGCTCCCCGTCCGGATCTTCGGCCCCCAGGCCCCAGCCCCAGACGACCCCCCCGCGGGCCCCAGCCTCCCGCAGACGCCCCCCCCCCCGGGCCCCAGCCCCAGAACCCCCCGCCCGGCCGCCCCCGGGCCCAGCCCCCCCAGCAGACGCCGCCCGCCCGCCCCCGGGCCCAGCCCCCCCGGCAGACCCCCGCACCCCCCCCGCCCCAGCCCCAGAACCCCCCGCCCGGCCGCCCCCGGGCCCAGCCCCCCGGCAGACCCCCGCACCCGAACCCCCCGCCCGGCCGCCCCCGGGCCCAGCCCCCCCGGCGCCTGTGGGCTCTGGCACGTCGCAGCCCCCAGCAGCGCAGGGCCCCGCCCACCCGGGGCTCCTGCTCACCCGGAGCCGCCGCCGCCGCCGCTCGCTCCGCACCGGGGCCTCCTGCCTCCGCCAACCCGGAAATGAGCGAACCTCCCCGGCCCCCAGCCGCGGCGGCCAAACAAAATGGCGGCCGGGGAACCCTCTGCGCATGGGCAGAGGACACGCCCCCCCTCATCCGGTTTTAGCGCGACGGGACGCTCAACGCTTTGGACAGGTTGAAGACGCCATGTTGGGAAGGTCATATGGCCTGCCAGAATGCGGCCATGTTGGCGAGGTCACCCGGTCACACAGCAGCCCGCTGCCCTGTTGGGAAGGTCAAGCGAAACCATCTTTGTGGCCATTTTAGGAAGGTCCAACGGAAGTGCTGCTATGTACGCCTCTTGGGAAGGTCGCTGAGCTGTGTGGCCTGGGCCACCATGCAGGGAAGGTCACATAGGGCCCTAGGACCAGTGAGTGGGGGTGGGTTGCTGAGGCCCTTTGCCAGACCCTGGAGCACCCTGGGACCGACCTGTCCGCAGGCCTGGGGAGCTGAGGCTGCCACCTGCCCTGAGCCTGGGGTACTGGCATTTCACAGCATGATGCGACATCATCACACTGCGCCAAAATGATGTCACACCTCAGTAGGCCTCTACTTATTGTTTCAGTGACATCACACCACTATATGACATCATCATGCTGCACCAAAATGCAATGATCTTAAGTCAACCTCATGCCCCCCCAGCCATGTCACAAGACCCCCAGCAACCCTACGGGGGGGGGGCAGGGTGTCAGCTGGGAGCACCACATGGGGTCCTCTGCCAGCTTCTCTCCTGGGGTGACGGCCATGTCCCTCTCTGCGCAGCGCACCCCCCCCCCCCGATAACCCACACTCAGGAACTCGGTGCCAGGGGTCCGATCCTTCCTACTAATTGGATCCCCCAAATTGCTTCACCCCGCTTTAACAGCTGAGGGGCCCGGCTCCTGGGCATGCTGGAGCCCAGGGAACATGCAGGGAGTCACACACAGAGTGCTAGGGAGCACCTCTGGGCGCAGCCGGGGGAAAGGGCACATGGACTTAAGGTTGGCGCCTCTCCCGGTGTTCTCAGGAGCGTCCCTCTGTTGAGGTAGCTGTCCTAGGAAATCCACAATGGGGTTCATACACACGCCAGCTGGCCGGGTTGATGGGCTTAGGATAGAGACCCTATGCACTACAGAGACGGCCATCCTAGGCACGGCCAGCCCCTAGGTTAACCTCCCCTCTCAAGAGACGCACTCGGGCGAAAGCGGGTTAGGGACCTTGGACTTTAAAGGTGTAACGCCAACAGGCCCCCGGCCGGCAGCAGGCAGGATCGAACTGTGGATCTCTGGAGCTTAGTGCAAGAGGCTCTTCCGCATGAGCTAAAAGCCAACTGGCTGTAGCTAAGGCTGTAGAGCAGACTCATTGTCTCTCTCTAAGTGGTCTGGTGCCACAAGATGGGACACAATGCCACGCCCAGGAGGTGTGTGGGTTACAAAGGCCTCTCCCGAAAGACTCTCCCGAAAGACTCTCCCAAAAGGCTACGCCACGCAGAGCCCCGTTTGTCTCCCCCATGGGGCGTGACAAGTGGAACTGAATGAGAAGGGGCAGGTTGGCCTGGACTGGAGTCTAGAGACTCAGCAGGTTGCATTTGCCTAGGGCCAACGCCGTGCGGTTCTGGTGCCCGGCTGGGGCTCGGACCCGCTGCTGCAATCATTCAGGTGCTGGACATGCCTCTCAGTAGACAGTGCCGCTTTTATTGCCAGTTCCGGTCCGAAGTCTTCCTCCCACCCCAGTGCTTCTGGAGCATGGTAAAATAATCATAAACTCAGAACCCAAACAGCCTCAGCCAAGCTGCACAGTGCATCTTTCCATTCCAGCTCGTGTGGGCAAAGGGCCGCAACCCCAAAGCCGCCCGTAGAAAAGTCTCTGTACAAAGCACCGTAGCACACAAGGAGCTGCCGTTTTCTTTTAAAAAATAAATTTACAATTAAGAGAGCATTTTGGTACAAAACATATACATTCTCGTGTTAGGCCAGGGAGCCGCCCAGGCCGCAGGCGAGACCCTCAGCCGTGACAGAAACAGAAAGACCCTGAATATACATAAAGAGAACCTCCTCGGGATGTTTACCGCGCGACCAAAAGGATAGGTACAAAACTAGAATTGCGGGGAACATTGTTCTGGGGCTCCCCCGCCCACCTGCTGCCCCTCGCAACCACCTCACCCCACTCTTGATGCCCACTCCCGTAGGCTGCTATCCTCTCTGCATACTGCCATGGGGGCTCCTTGGGGCCAGATGCAGCTGGCTGTAGGGAGTGGCTCCCATCCTGCCAAGGGGCACGATGTGTGTGTGGGGGGAGGGGGGTTGGGGTTGGCTTCATCCCAGGTGAAGAGTCCCTGCTGTAGCAGTGGGGGGTGGCTGGGGGCCGGGGCGTTAGGGCCATGCTTCAGGACACGAGCAGCTCTGTGGAGCAGACAGGCAGGGTTTAAAGGCAATGCGGTTACACAACTGCCCTTAGCGCCGGCCCAGGCAGACTGGGGACCCTGCCCTTGGCGTAGGTAAGCGAGGGGCAGAGATGGGGGAGAAGCTGGGGGGCAGGTGGAGTCTAATGGGAAAATAAACCCAGCCCCAGAGCACTATGAGGGCCACATAACCCCCACAGGGGGCTCTGCCTGCCCTCCCCCTGCCAGCCCATGTATGAGGTTCAGAAAGCTGTTGAAGGGATTTAGGGCTCTAGCTCCGGTGGCTCCTACTTTCCACTCTGTAGCTCACAGGTTCAAACCCCACCTGTGTCAGGTACTGCAGCCAAACTCCTAGGGACCAAGGCACCCCGGGCAGGTGGGGACAACCCATAATTTTGAAACTAGAGGGACGTGAGGTGCCTGCAGCTGGACTGACTCTGGGGGACAGAGGCATGGGAGCCAGGGCTTCTCCCCAGCACCCCAATGCTGTTTCCCCTGGGGGGGGGGGAGCTTTGCATTCTGACATGTACTGAGAGCACCCCAGCAGAGGGGGTCTGAGAGCTGGCAGGGGGTGATGCAGTCACAGCTGCTCTGGCTGGGGAAAGGAGGAAAGGAGGGAAACACACATGGGTGGGAGAAGCAGGAGGGATGAACCCAAGAAGAGAGGACAGGAACGGAGAGAGAGGGAGCTGGGACCCTGTAGAGGGGGCACAGGTCCCCTTTGTTTGCCAAGGGGAATGCTGACCCCACACCACATGCTGCCCCTCACCCCACCTGGCTCCAACCCACCCCACTGGCACCTGGCAGAGGGGACAGTGTCTCCTGCCCATGCCCTGGTCTCCCAGACCGTGCCCTGGGCGCCTGGCCCAGAGTTTAAAGCTAGACCGAAAGCCAGTCCCGGCCCACCCCGTCTGCGCAGCAGGGGTGTCCCCTCCTACCCCCTGATGGGGAAGGGCCATGTGTTTAAAGTCCAGCCGGCTCTGTAAACCACAAAGTGCCCGTGGCTCTCCGCGCACAGGGGCGTCCAGCGAGCCGGGGCCGCGGCCAGCCAAAGTGCTGTAGTGTGACGGATCCAGCGCCCCCCGGGCTGTCACTAGCTGCTCGCCTCCAGTTTGTAGGAGAGCTCAAAGAGCAGGTTCTGATTGTCGATCACCTGGAACTGGCGCACGTAGGCCTTGGTCTGCAGCTGGCTGGGCGACGCCTCCAAATCCAGGCCTGCGGGGGAGGAGAAGTCAGGGCGCATGACCCGGGAGCCAGCAGCAGGAGGCGCTGCTCTCCCTCCCCTGGTGGAACTCACCTCGCCTGGCTCCCGCCCGCATGAGAGAGGACGGCGGGCTGCTTGCTGCCCTGGGGCTAAGCATGGCGGCTGCCAGGCGGGCCCTGGCACAGGTGGCCTGACCGGGCCAGCTGGGAAGCTTCCCTGAGAACCAGACAGGCCAGCCTGAGTCGGCTTTCGCACAGGTTTATGGCCCGGGCAACAGATCTCTGCCGCTTGGAAGGTGGCAGCTTTCATTTGTTCCCATGCTGGGCAGGTTTCAGAGCAGTAAACCAGGGGCAAAGGCCCCACCCCCTAAGTCACCCTGGCTGCCAGTCCCAGCGCCCCCCAGTCGGGATCTGCAGTCTGGGGAAGCAGGGAGCTCCGTGGGGTAATGACGCTGCCCTTCCTGTCCCTGGAGCGCAGCGCGGGGGGGCAGCCTGTGGGAGACGCTCATACTCACACAGGGGACGGCTGCGATACTTTCGGATTGTCCTCACTTTTTCGGCGATTGAGTGCTGCAAAGGAAGGCAGCCACGTGGTTAACAGCCTGGGCGCTGGGCCTGGCCCTGGGGCAGCCCAGGCCCCAGCAAGGGCCTCAGGACCGTGGACCCAGCCCCCCAGCCGGGTACAGAAACGAGACCGGCAGTCAGGGCAGTGAGCCGTCCCGCGCCACAGCTGGGAGAACCCACCTCATCCCACAGGGGACAGGCACCGACTCTGCGCCCACCCTGCGCCCAGGCGCCCAAGGAGCCCGATCCAGTTGGCTCTACCCCTGCAGGTGTGTTAAATAACAAACAGCTGGTCGAAGCCCTCCACGCACAGGCAGCAGAGGGCGGTAGACACCCCAGCCAAGACACACACAGGGGCTCAGGTGCAGGCAGGGGAGGGGATTTGGACCCAGCTGTTGGTCTCTCGCAGCACCCGGGAGCCCCACCAGTGCCAGGAGCAAGGCTGCCTCTGCCGTCCCGGCACCCATCATTCCTTGCTGCTGCCCTACAGGGGCTGTGACCTGCAGGTCGCGCAGGGGAAATTCCACCCCGGGGGTTGATTTAGCGAGACCTGGGCCCCGGTTTCCTACACCAAGCACCTAGACAGGGTGCCTGGATCCCACCAGGGGTGGGTGAGAGGGAGCTCTGAACTCCAGCCCAGCACAGCACCCAGCACAGATCCAGGGGGGACCCAGGCAGGTGAGACGCCCGCCCCGGGGCGCAGGCTGAGCCGGGAACCCTGGGGTGCAGGGAACTGCTGCATTGAGCTGCCAATCCGTAGGCAGGGACGAGGCTCCGAGGGGACAGGATGCCGTGTGGGGTATGGTCATGCCCACGTGCCCAGGGCAAGGCCGCCCGAGTTTGCTGCGGAGACCCAGGGTGCCGCCCCCTGCCGGCTCAGCACCGCCCCAGCTGAAGGGCACTGAC